GTCGAGGTTTCACTCCATGAGCGGCTGCTCATTTGAGCACAACATTCCATTCTTTTTTCTCAGTTACCATTACTCAGTCATGCTGCATATAACATTAGTGCAGATAACATTAATCGGTTATGTGTTTGTCTGTCTTAGTGGCTAAAATTTGACAACTTCCAGTCTACAAACATGCTGCTAGTGTGCATGCAAAAGCACTTGTTTATAAATTATAAGACAAATTAAAGGTTGGCTCCGTTTAAATCTATAAAATATGGATGGATCGATGTTGATTTAAATTTAATAGTCCCAGTCCGATTTTTTTGCTTATCGTTTAGAAAAGTGATTAATGCAATTTTCACTATCTGGTCCAAAACGATGTGCAACTTGCACATTGGTAATTCAGAACCATGTTAAATCATACATATGTAACAATATCTGACAATACCAAGAATAACATTTTAGAACAGTCTAAAATTCATTGTCATCATCATCAGACTCTTCATCAAGTCCATTATTAGCCTACTGTTAGTTTCCATCAATTCTGTGCTTTCCATATTTTCACATCGGCATAATTATGTGCATTGTAAATCCATTTTTTTGCATGAGCACCACTTGGTGTTGCACAGGAGAGGTGAAAAAATTCTCAGGGGATGTGCAAAACGATCTCAGGGGAGGTGCTCACCTCCCCTCAAAATCTGGCTATAGAAAGTGAATTTACAATGCACAGAATTATGCCACTCTGAAAATATGAAAAGCACAGAACTTATAGCGATATTGATACGTAAGACAAAAGGAATGGAATGTTGTGCTCGAGTGAGCAGCCGCTACTGGGGAGAAGCCTCGACACAAAGAGCAGCTATAAAGGAGACAATGCTCCTCAGAATATTTTGAAAATCAAGTGCCCCAAGATTGGCTAAAAGGTTTGTTACGTTCTTTATTACACGTCATAAAGAGGAAATAGTGTACACATCAGTTCATAATCTTGAAAGAATGCTTGGTGTTGCTATTAAATATCTTCGTACAAAGCCAGAAAGTACGCTTTGTCGCAATAATATATAAAACTTGAAAATCGTGTTGCTCATTGTTTACATCAAATCTGAATTCACATATCTCAAGAGGAGGCGGAAATGACCTATCCTGTATAATTGTGACTGTGGCGCGCGAGAACTGGTTGTAAGAGTACGCATTTCGAGGTATGGAATATAGAAAAAGTGATATTGCGAAACTCGTAAATTTTAAGATTTTGATAGCAATTTACAAAAAAACTGCAGGGTGAAGCCGCAAGAACTTTTTAGATTTGAATTCAGCGTGTTTAAATCTATAAGAATATGTAAGTATTTTTTAGATTATCGAGGTGTACAATGAAACTAAACCTTTGAGGGCACTAGCTCACGGCTTGTACAATAAAACTAAATTACCGATTTGTCATATATCTTGATTAGTTCTCGAAATATTTAGATCGATATTAATGTGCTGTTTGCCATCTTGGACCAATTTTTGACCTCATTAAAATAACTAAGGTTTTGATTTTGGTTAACCAAATAAAACTACTCTAAAATGACAGAGTAACTATCCAAAATGTTTTGAAATGTTTTTAATCATTTGTAAATTTCAGGCAAGTTTTGGACCCATATTGATCACTTACTCTCAAGATAAAAAAAATTATCGTGACTTCTCTCTTGACGTAACATGAATATCGTTAATTCAAGATGGCGAACAGCTCACTTTTTTCAGTCGACATTAAGCAATACATAAACAATCTGTAACAGAGTTTATCTAATTTTAAGAGTTCTTTCAAAATCAACCAAATATTTTTTATTGCCAATTTCCTTTGAGGTACGGTGTTATATAGGGACTTGTCCCCCTAGCCTCTGTTTTGGCCCCTCCAGTGAACTACAGTATGTTGTGGTCTAAAATATAAGCAAAAAAGGGAAGAATAATTTGTTAAGGAGAGTATTTTAGTATTCACATGGCCAAATCTTTCTCTAGTGGATGAAATGATTATATAAAACATTTTGTCAAAAATGCCGAAAATGAAGCCCCAGAGACTTAATAAAGCCCCAGACATTTTTCTTTCCCAGACAAGTTTCCACTTTTCCCGTTCACCACCTCCTAGTTGGGTCCCTTTCTCTTCATGGACAAATCCACTGACAAATCTTAGAAGTGGCCCTGCTCAGTACCACTAGGATTCGTGAGGGAAAAGAGGAAATTTATGAAATATGCATGCATAGACATATATAATTCTTACATAGTTTCCAGATATTACAATTTTGCCATTGCTAGAATCTCCTAATTTCGATCAAACTTTCCTCGGAGAAATAATAGAAATCACAAGAACGATGACAGTCAGTCAATTACGAGGAACGATGGGCAATGAAAATCTCTAGAGCATCGAAATGCGAAGTTATATTTTTCAAATGATGCCCATAGAATTATCATCACAATCGCACAAAATACATATGACTTTTATTTTTCCGCTTTTACACGAATATGGAATTTCTGAACACGTCAATTGTCGTAACTTACCCATCCAAGACCTTTGAAAAAGTGTGCACCAAACCGTGAACATTTAAAATTTTTTGTAACCACTTTGTTTCTCATGAGGTCTTTAACGAAAGCCACATTCCCAATTCCTGGATGATTGTGACTACACTGACCCTGGTTGCGTAATAACAACGACGAAAGCTTGCGAGGAGACTGAAAACGATAATACCTGAGAAAAAAGATATATTTGTGTGTTCTACAAAATTTGCGGCAAAATTTCGTGTGAGCCTCGAAAGTTTGGGTTCTAATGTAAATAAATACGGCGGATTTTGAAAATATACAGTATTTGCATAATATGTAAAATTAATGTTTTATTGCATGGTTTAAGAAGCACTGTCAAGCACGATATTAGAGACATTTCGATTTTAGGACGTCAACGCGACGACGACGGCCAAAACAAACTTTTTCAAATAAATGGTATATTTTATCAATCGTATGAATTTATTAATACAGTCTTAAAAGTTGAAGTTATAGTTTGATGTTGCACTTGTTGCGGCTTGAAATGCAGCCGTTGCATCAATACGTGAAAATATGTGATTTGGCGTTGTAAACAGAGCGAGGAGAATGTTTAGATTATCTGTATATTATTGTAATTATTCAACTCTTTTCAATTATTTATTGTAGTGATAACCGTTGCAGTCGCGTTGTCGTCCTAAATCGACATAAGGTCTCTATTCAACAGTTCAGGTGCCGTACTCTTTATTTTAAGTGCTATTTAAATAGAATACTATATTCTTGTCAAATTGAATTTGTCCTAAAGCCCGTGTTTGTAGGGATGCAACTAGCTGAAAAATATATTTTACAGAGATGAGGAAGCGACATGAATTTTCAGGTCAAAATTTCGAGGTGCATTATATGATTTTCACATCGACTTTTACGTTTCGTTTTGATTTTTTTTTACTAAATCTATATTTTTTACTAGATGCTATATTATTTTTCTAAATATCACACTCTACACGCTGGTTGGTAAGGCCGTGTTGATATAACTCAATGTCAACACGGAAAATTTCCCGCCGTATCGTATTGAAATACAGTTAAATCAACACTAGTAGAAATTGGGAAAACTCGAAATTGTGTAAAAACATTCCGCCCTCCGGGCGTCGTTTACCCAATTTCCACTCATGTTGATTTATCTGTATTTTATCACGGAAATTGTTTTAGACTAATTTGTTATATATTACATGGCGAAATCGCAACGCTGTCGCATAAAGTGAATATGGAATAAAGATAAATAATACGTCATAAATCTTACCAGTGAGAATGAGTTTCTTCAAAAGAGGTAGACTTTGAAATTTGAATACGAAAATCCAAAACTTGTTGGTCGCCAAAAGCGCTGGACCATTGCGCTTTGCCTTGGGGAAGGATAATGGAAGGACTTGAAGGGATTGCCCAGGTCACTGGTGTATCTTTTACGCCGATTAACATAAACCCACCACCATCAGTTACTAAGTCACACCAAGCCTATAAATGAACACAAACTCAATACATAACAGCTTCAATAATTAGAAATAATGTATAGTTAAACGTGAAGACACAGTAGTCCTATTTTTTTACCATTTTTACTTTTACCGGTAGAGAGTGCTTTATAGTGGGCTATGTTAAAAACATGAACTCTTAATTTTGTATAGCAAGTTTATTCCAGTCCAATACCGATTCACAGTAAGAGTGGCGAAAAACAATATTACAGAATCTCTAAAGTTTGTAGTTTATATGACGAAAATTAATGGTACAGTTTATTTTGGCAACACTAATTCCGGGCGGACAAAAAGACATACAATATATAGGGGATATTATACACGATTGCAAAGAGATATGGATTTTATGTTCGAGTGGCAAAAACAATATCTCGATCACGAGTGAGCGCAGCGAACGAGTGAGATATAGTTTTTGACTCGAGAACATCAATCCATATCTTCTCGCAACCGTTTAATGTTTTGTTTAATATATCGACAAAAAATACACACAAAGAGGACATGTAAATAAACACGCAATTATAGTGCAAACATGAAACTAGAATAAATATTATTTAACTCAAGATGTCTTTTAAATATTTTCGTTTTATTTCCAACGTTAATTTCGTTTTAAATACGAACCAAAGACCATTTGTATTTTCAAAAAAACAACAATGAAAATGGCGGGAAATTTTCGAACTTTGTATGTCACTCTAGCAGGGGTGAAATACAGAAAATACGCGCACCTGGTCCCGGATGTAGTGACGTATGAGTTCTACGAGTGTTTTAGTTTCCAGTAAAACACCATTGTCCATATAATAAAACGCCATATTCAGTAGTTTTAAGACTTTCTGAATAAATTTCAGTGTACAGCGATTGCAAAGCACGCAACCTTACCTTTTTGGGGCCATTTTTAGTTTTAATCCAGTAGATCCCATCTCTTGCATCCGGAGCGTTCCCAACCATGTCGGAGCAACCAGTAACAGGGTTGAAATAGTTTCCATAGGAATTTCCTTATTACAACAAATTGATAAAATAGTATGTCTTTAAGTTACTGTTTCAAAAGAGTGTTATTTGTTCACTATATTTTTATCAAGATTGGTTAAATATCTGTAATGTCTTAATGAAGCATCAACAAGATAGACAAAAAACCAATGCCTTAAGAAAAAATCGAGAAAAAAACAAAAATTACATTTTTATAACACAAACAGTATGAATAATAACAAAAATGCCTCTATATAGAAATTATAAACAGGATCTGAAACAAAACCGCGATTGGCAACCACAACAGGCACAAATCCCAAGATAGCAGAACAGTAACATCCGACTGCACGACAAAAATACAACGACGAAGGTAACGAGAATACGACAGCACGTAGTAGCTAATTTTAACGTCGCCAAAACAAGTAAGGTTGCAAATGAATCTACATTTTTTAACGCAACAAGACACGAAACTTAATAATTCCTGTAGACATGTTGAGAGAATTTCCTATACCTGAACACAAAAAGAGTTAACAATACTGGTAGTAACTTTAATTCATTTCACCCTAATTTCAAAATGATATAATATACAAAATGAGAAACATCATTTATATACACACAAAGATAGGTGCACTTTTATACCAACCATTCATTATCCACTGGTACTTTCCATTTCGGTTGAGGCAAAACAAGATTCGATCGTTGTTATTGTGATCCTTTACAATCACTTGCTTTCCTCTTCCTTTTTGATCACACACCCCAGGATCTTGTAAGTTTAACTTGGGTAACATGAAATGTATAGATACACAGATATAAACGTAGGTGATTGAAGGATATTCTATTACTAGAAATATATAATTGCAGTACTTTGGCTCGAAATTTAAGGATTGATCATATCCTTTTCATCGCAGTCGTAATATTATATTGACTATAGGAATAAATTAATTTAAAAGCACATCGTCCGTATTAGAAAATTTAAAAGACAATACAAATTACGCAAGCATCTTCCATGATCAACCTTCCGCGCATTCAATAGTTCATCAATAATCGCAAGTTCGTAGCGATGTTGAATAGTTCGTAGTCGTGTTGTGTAGTATAAAATGTCTCACTGATGTGAAGAAATTATGGAAATATAGAATTTATAACAGAAATCTCAAGCTTGCTACGATTGCTTATATTCAACTATATGTATTCAACAACGCTGAAATTAAGAAGGGAGCAAATTATTTGTAATAGCAAACAGTACGATTCAAAATTATATATAATTATATAATTTCAAATACTATTGAAGTTGAATAGTTAACAACATATATAAAGCAGTTTTAAAAGCGTCTAAACCAATGAAAGCACTTACGACGAGATACGAAACAATACAGCGAATTGTCTAAATTTTTTCCACTCGTTTTGCTTAATGCCAAAGATTATTATTATTATTATAATTCCATAAGGAAAATAAAACATTCTTGACCACTAGTTTTCCCCACTGAGAAGATTCTTTTGATGTTGGCAAATTCAGATGCTGTTTCTGAATAGCTGAACGGTGTCAGGGTGAGTGGTAACACAGTACGGTGCGGCACTAACCCTCCAGCTATTCAAAAACAGCATTGACACTCAACGGAAGTTCAGATTAAACCTCCACTCATTGAGTGTGCGCATGAGTGTGAGTGAGCTTTTAGAATATTGGCGTAAACCTTTATGTGCGGAGGAAAATCACTTATTTGCAAACTTTATCCCCGAGCCGACGGCGCGAAGCGCCGTGCGAGGGTACTAATTCCCCCCGGCTATTTACACCCGGGGAAACGAAAGCATTAGCGGAGTCTAAAGTTCATCAAGTATCGCGGGCGTGGGTGACCAACGGTGTTGAGTGGGTGGTCATCCTCACTGATCTCAAAAATATGGCGGACTGTCATGAATAGCGGACACTGATTGGTCCAATTTAAAGTTGCATCATAACGACTGTATGACGACAGCGAAATAGCAAACATTTCTTGATTTGATCACAGATTTGATGATTGATAAATTTCTTGCAAATATACTTCAATTTTACTCGCATTTTTGCAAGATTTTGTAAATTTCAAGATAGAAACAGCGAAAGAATCGGCTAAAAGAAGGGAGCCGACGTTAACGAAGGTAAGTTTGTGTTAAATATTGATTTTATAATTGCTTTAAAACCCGACGGCCTTTGGCCCTTTGCGTATATGAAATAACTAAACAAGACAGCATATAATTTCAGTCAATTCAGTGTATTATTAATATTGATTCCTTTTTTATTATATTGAATTTTTTTACTAAAAAGAAAGCAAAGTTATTTGCATGCGAGAATTTGAAATCATTTTGTTGCAAACTCAAAGTTTATCGATAAAGCCATTTAATTAAAGCCAGGCAATTTAGTTTTATAAAGAACGTTTTAAAACGTTTTGCGAAGCTTTTGTGGTTGAATTTTATCTTAAATTGAAGCTTATATTACGTATAATAACATACCTAACAAATATATGTTGGGAAATTGATAATTTTGTAATTAAAATTGATATTTTTAGGCAATTTTTCATTTGTAAGAATATTCTTAAAAAATTATCGTGTTATTACCATGACAACAACTTTGGATACTTCATGTTTGGAAAATACAATGGTTTTGTCAGCAAGGCGAGGGTTTCTGCATGCATGTATTTTCTAGTTAATATATGTCTTTGCAATCGGCTGTTGTTCGTGATACTCTCCGAGACCTCCAACGGGGCCAGTTGGTAAATTCAGAAACTTAGTGGCAGGGACGGAAACATGGTTTTTATTATTATTATTATTATTATTAAATTGAAACCACATTGCAGCCAGAAGCTGAATTGCGTGAATTACATATTATCACATGCACTACATATAAATATATTATTAATACAATATTATAAAACCCACCCTCGATCAAAATTCGATTAAAATAAACATAAAATCTATCCTACAAACTTCCTATACACATAGCAGGGATGAAAGAGTTATAAAAGCGGTTCGTGCGTGTAACGTACATATTAAAATACCGATTCGTCCTGAAAGAATAATCAGTCTCGTTCTTCGGGGGCAGCAGATGATGAAGTTTATGCATTGGATCCTTGATGATACTCGTAAAGAGTTTGTCACACATGTCCTCTCTTCTTTGAAATAGAGTAGGCAGTCTATAATACTCAAGGGCCTCACAATATGTCATTTCAGGAGATAAAATTTTTAGCACACGTTTCTGGACAGTCTCAAGTTCGTCTGCCAAATACTTTGGGATGGAATGATGGAAGGCTTGCGCACAATACTCGAGCACAGGCCTGATCACTGTACAATAAAAGTTCAAAACATCATTGACATTTACGCCTGCCCGTTTCAATAATACTATAAAATAGAGGCGTTTATTAGCTTTCTTTATACTCTCTCTGATGTTATCTTTCCACTGAAGTGTGCCTGTCATAACAAGACCCAATATTTTTGCACTCTCAACTATAGGCAATGCTTCTCCACCCACCAGTACAGGATCAAAAGGTTGTTTAATTTTTTTTAAATCGATTCTCAGTTCTTTACATTTCTCAGCGTTAAGAGATAGCCCATTTACCTTCGACCAATCTTCCACAACATCAACTGCGACTTGAACACGGCTCTCTGTGTCCTTACTAACTACTTCAGCAACTGTTGTGTCATCAACAAACTTCCACCTCGATATATCACAAATATCAAGATCGTTTATCATTAAGCAAAATAGCCAGGGCCCTAATTTTGTACCTTGAGGGATACCGGAGAGTACATCACCCCACTCCGAATAACAGTCATTGGATAATTTCACTCTCTGCTTTCGATTCATCAAAAAATCGATTGTCCAGCGAGCAACCGCACGTGGAATAGCTAAATTGGAAATTTTATCAGCCAATAAAGCATGATCGATAAGGTCGAATGCTTTTCTATAATCGAACAGGATGACTCTGACAGCAGAGCCAGTGCCATCAGTAGCTTGCGACCATTCATGGATCATAGATATAACAGCGAGAGTAGTTGAACTTCTTGGTATTACTCCATATTGACTTGGATCGATTATACTCATGATAGCTGGAGCAATGTATTTTTTAACAACACAGTCCTCAGCGATTTTCGAAATAGCGGCAGTAAGTGAAATTGGTCGTAACTGCTTACAAATGTCGCTAACGGGCTTAGTTTTTATGAGGGGCACAATGTTGGCAAGCTTCCAAGATTTAGGTAGTTGTTGTTCGGCATAGCTGCTGTTTAGCACAACGCATACTGGCTGTGCAAGGATTTCAGCATATTCCTTAAGAGCCCAATTGGGAATTTCGTCAGGACCTGACGCCTTTCCACGATTAATTGCTTTCAATAAATGAAAGACTTCCAATTCGTTCACTTGAAAAGAGGAATAATTATCAAAGGGGGGAAGGGTTGACAGTCGATTGAAGGAGTTCATGGGCTCCAAAAAGGCGTTATTAATTAAATTCGCAATGTCAGGACGTTGCATATTCTCGATATCGTCTAAATGAAGTTGACTACATAGGTCATCGGAGCCGGTTGTAGGTACCATTACCAGCAATCTGCTTCACCTCCTTCCACCATCTCTTCGGTTTGGTCGATTTAAGATTCTTTACTTTTGAAGAGTAGAATTTCGCCC